TGGGAAATCAGTATATTTTTGTTTTAGTCCACTGAAGTTTCTTACTGGTTATTGTGCAACTGGCAAAAATGCAGCTCTGGGTTTATTTTGGTTATCCTGTGGTTGAATCCTTTATCTGTGTTAAATGAATAAAACAAATCCTCTTTGTCCAGAACTCAGAGTTTTGTTCTCTGTCAAAACAAKAGCGACCATGTTGTATTTTGTTTTCTTTTATTTCAAGCTTCAATCAGTTCAGAGATAGAGTTTAAAGAACAAGCAGCTAAAAATGTTTCCCTGCAAAACCCAAAAGTAATGTTTTTATGTAGGCAAATGCTTAAAATGTCATTTTCACTTTTGCTTGTATTTCTATAATTATCAAGTAATAAATGGTAAACTGTAATTGCCATAATTAGTTTTTAGTAGACATTGGCTAAAGTGATGTGTTATCATAACAGCATTAATGTGTATTAGCATGTGAGGCTAAAATTAAAAACATCAGAAAATCTGGTCCATGCATTTATCACTTCTGGGTTGGACTGTTGTGAGAGTTTTTTWAAAAAAAAGTTTAACTTAAATTTGACGTCAAACAATTTCCAGTTCATTTCGAGCAGTGGTTCCCAAACTTTTTAGTTTTTACCCACAAAATTACAGTCACAAAGACCCTATATTATTGGTTGATAAACATTGTTATCAGATCAAATAAACAAGAGCAATTTACTATGCTACTTTTATCCATTTTAAATATGCTAACCAATGTTGTATAAAGTACCTCAAAGTGACACTTGAGTAAAAGTACAAGTATCTGGGCAGATATTATGATTTTTTTCTTCGTTCTGCTGCTTTTCATTTTATTTTGTGACATAAGTTTTGTATTTTCTGTAATGTAAACTTTTTTGTTTTAAATGAAATGAATAAATCAAATCAAATCAAATCTTATCATAAAAATACTTTGGTAAAAGATGAAGTCATCTTTAAAAGTATTGCTTGAGTAAAAGTATTAAAGTATCTGATATTTTTTGTACTTAAGTATCAAAGGCAAATTTCTGACACAAAATCTACTTAAGTATTAAAAGTAAAAGTACTGAGTAAAAGTGAGCAGTTAGATTTTCCAAAATGACATTTATTGGGAGGTGACTTCTCCAAAAAATATTTTTTCTAACGGCGTGCAGCTGTGATGGGTTGTGTACAAGATAACATGGTGTCAGAATGGTATATATTTATACTTCTCATCCAACCACAATTAAATTCACTCTATCCAGGAGAMAACTTATCAGGATAAAAAACTTTTAAGTAATAACTAGAATAAAATAGGAGTAAAGACTCTCTACTTTTCACCTTTTAAAAAAATGTAGTGAGTAGAAAGTACAGATAATTGTGTAAAAATGTAATGAGTAAAAGTAAAAAGTACGCTGAAATATTATTACTCAAGTAAAGTACAGATTACCAAAATTTCTACTTAAGTACAATAACAAAGTATTTGTACTTATTTAATTTACAACTCTGATGCTAACCACAGCCTTTAAAGCTAATAAGGCAAATGAAATAAATTGTTGCTATTTTAAAATGTAATTAAGCCTGACTTCCTTTCAAGACCCAAGCTTGACGTTTCATGACCCCACTGTGGCTCCTGACCCCAATATAAGGAGCTGATTTAGAGGAATGTGAACTTCACTTTGCACACCCTTCAGTAAATTCAGAGCAGTCTGCTTTGCTCCACACTCTGTAAAAACTGGCATCACCACGATGAGGAGTCGGCCTCTCCGAGCGTTCTGTCAGTCAGAGCCAAACTTACTCGACTCTTAGCGAAGCGTCGTATCCGCCCTGTGTGAGTGCGACAGTGTTTGTGTTTAATGAGATGGGTTTGTGCAACAGTTTCAAACAGTAAAGATAGCAGCTTTGTGCCGAGAAACTCTGACTCACAGATGTGAACCTGTTTGGACCATCGTGGTCCTCAGAGTCTGCTGTGAACGCACCACACCCCACCCACAGACATTATCACATCCTGCTCAACTATTCACTCCGTATTGTGCGTTAATCTCCCAGAGTGCAACGTCTCAGTCTAATATCCTGGACTTACTGAACATGCACACAAGAAGCTGCAGTTGTGAGGCTGTGTGCGGCTGCATTTCTATTTGTACAACTGTTTGTTTGCTCATTCCATGTGCAGCCAGTTTCTGCACACTAAGTTAAACATTCACCCTCTGTGAACTTCCTGCATGTTGACTCAGTTAATATTCATTCATGTACAGCACATGTGAATAAGAAGTAATTGGCATATCTTTGTTTATTCCTAAACTGCATTTGATCAAGATGTTTTAGAACAGACTTTAATTTAAAAWTTTTCCTGCCTTCAGTTTGACTTTCTCATCTGAGCTGCCTTCTGTAGGAGCACAAAGCATGAAAAAACTCTGTTTTTTTACAGACATAACACTGGCTTCAGCCAATGTTATACAAATATAATTTTAAATATGGAAAGAAGCAGCTAAAAAGAGAGTTTGTAGGTGAGAGGCTTTTGAAGCTCCAGAAATATAACACATTATCRCACAGACACACCCTTTACAGATGACTTTTTTCTTTTTTCTTTTACCATGGGGTTGAGATTTTTAACTGAATTGCACCATCTAGTGTTAAACTATTGTTGTAAAAAAAACACCGGCTTTGTATGTAAAACACTTTTAGGCTGTAGCTTGCTTATAGTCATTGTAAGGAAAGAAAAAAAATTTAACATGTGCAAGTGTGTATCAGTATTTATTCACAGAGAAGGTTGTAAGAATATACAAAATGTCCTGATGCATCTCAGTAATCCAGGTAAAAAATCAAAAAGAAAAAAATTGTATAGGTCTTCTGGACGGGTTCTTCTTTAATGAAACRTTTCGTCTCWCCTCCAAGAGACTTCTTCAGTCTGAGAGTTTCAGGCAAAATTCAGGCTTTTAAGCCCTGCCTCCATGTGACTGATACTCACATCACATGGCTATCGTTGACACCTAATTAACACTTATTGTTAACAGGGGGTGGAGTGATACTGGTGGACRGTTGGAAACTGGCGTATATCGTAAGCCCACCCACACAGAACAATATTTGCGTTTTGACTCCCACCACCCACTGGAACACAAGTTAGGAGTGATCAGGACTCTGTACCACAGAGCAGACAGTGTCCCTACAAACCCAGGAGCCAGGCAGAAAGAGAAATCACAMACACGACAGGCCCTGGAGCAGTGTGGTTATCCTGACTGGGCTTTCCTGAAAGCAGACAGGAAACACAGACAGGACTCCATGCAACCTTCAGGTGAAAATGAAGACCCCAAACCCAGACCCAAACCAGTGGTTATTCCGTATGTTGCGGGTGTTTCGGAGAAACTGAGACGTTTATTTTCTAAACATGATGTCCCAGTGGCTTTCAAACCCCAAAACACATTATGGCAAAGGCTGGTTCACCCCAAAGATCCGGTGCCCCGGCACAAACAGAGCAATGTTGTATATGCTGTTAAGTGCCAGGAGGACTGCGACCAGTTATACATCGGGGAAACAAAGCAACCACTGTTCAAAAGAATGTCCCAACACAGACGAGCTAYATCTAATGGCCAGAACTCTGCAGTTTACACTCATTTACAGGCCAGCGGTCACTCTTTCAGAGATGAGGATGTTCTCATTCTTGATAGAGAGGAACGTTGGTTTGAGAGAGGAGTAAAAGAAGCCAATTTTGTGAAGAAAGACCGTCCATCATTAAACAGAGGTGGAGGCCTCCGTTTTCAGTTGTCCCCCCCCTACAGCGCTGCCATTGCCAGTATCACTCCACCCCCTGTTAACAATAAGTGTTAATTAGGTGTCAACGATAGCCATGTGATGTGAGTATCAGTCACCTGGAGGCAGGGCTTAAAAGCCTGAATTTTGCCTGAAACTCTCAGACTGAAGAAGTCTCTTGGAGGAGAGACAAAACGTTTCATTAGAGAAGAACCCGTCCAGAAGAYCTACACAATTTTTTTCTTTTTTCTTTTTAATATACAAAATGTTTTAAAATGTGTCTCTGCCCTATTGTTATTAAAATAGCATAAAAAGATGCAAATGATGCATTTAGAGTTGAGCTTTGTGAGAAACAGTGTCATAGAAGGTTTTAAAGACGAAAATAGGTTTATTGTATTTTGGAAAAAAGAAAACCTTTTGTCAAAAAAACATGTTTTTGTTCTCCGTCTGCAGCTGTTTAAAAAGGTTTTTTTTTTCACAGTGAGCCCAGTTGTGCAGTTTTATTATTTGTTGTTTCTGATTATTTTACTGACAGTAAATCTGTCACAATTTCTTTGCTGTAAGGGAGCTATTTTAGGTTCTGCATCTTTATGTAACTAGTCTCCATAATGTTCATTTTACCTAATGATCTGGAGAAAGTTTGCATAATTTATTAAAACAGGGCTATTTTAGCACTTTCCACCTTGATTTTGAAATATCTTGTGGTACAGAAGCTTTACCTGAAGTGACTTTAAACCATCTGAAGCTTGAAGCAAGTTCTTTTTGATTAAAGTGACACTTTTTTGTGATCACCATCAAAATGGTGGTGTACCCCAAGGGTGAGTGGCTATTGTTTTTATACTTCGTTTTTTTATATATATTTTATCTGCTTATTCAAAATTACAGTGTTCATCACTGTTTCTACAGGTGGCAGTAAACTACACGTGCTGACAGCACTCACTGATCCCAGCGGCCTTATTAAACCCACAACTTGTTCTGGAATTTAGCCAATAAGTCAGAAATTTTAGCAACTCATCCCCAGTTTCTCTTGTGTCATTAGGTCTGCCTTTATTGACACAWCTTCTCACAGTCTTTCCCACATTTCTGTAAGTTGTTTAAATTAACACTTTGAGGTCACTTTAAGAGCTATCCATGGAGCAATACTCAAAAACTGAAGATGTTTCACTGAGCAGCAGTAAAAGGTTGGTGCAGTTTGTGCTCGGTATTTTCCAGTGGTGGAAAAACTCACAACGCTCCTCTAAATTAGTTCATGCTTTTTACAAAGAGACAATGCAAAATCATTTCAATTGCAAGGTTTTTATTGGATTTTGCTGATGGGTTCAACATTTCACTGAACTTGACCCACGTTCACATCAACATTCTTGCTGGATTTAACAACCTTTCCATCAACGACGGTCTCCTTCACAGTAATCACCTTTGTGATCACTGAAAAAGAAAAAAAAAGATTCATGAGTAATTATCATTTCTGAAAGTTTTAAAACGTTTGTAATATTTTAAGAGTGTAAAGTTTCTTACCGTGTTTTGAGCTGGCAATAGAAGAAAGACAAAAAAAGATGTTAGATTCTTATCATCTCTGCTATAAGTTGATTTTATCATTTTCAGGTCTCACCTCTCGTCTTCTCCATCGAGCAGCCTCCTGTACTCTTTGATCTCGTTCTCCAGGCGGGTCTTCAGGTCCAGAAGCACGCTGTACTCCTGAGCAAGAGACGTGATGCTGGCGTTGATCTGGGTTAACTGAACCTCGATGTTTGTGACTTGGATCTGGAGATTGGCTAGTTGTGCGGCGAAGCGGGCCTGAGTCTCTGACAGGGTTCCATCCAAAGATGTTTTCTGTTGTGGGAAGAGAGCAAAGTGATGGGGTTAATTTTCAAATGGTTCTGCACAGGGCCGGATTAACACTTCGCTGTACCCTGGGCAGTAATATTCAAGGGCCCCATCATCACCACCCCAGGATTACCATAGTCTGGCAAAATACAGAGTAAATTATTGCATGGTTTTTGATGTACAGCTTTCTTGTTAAGGTTTAAGAGCTTAACTTCAACTTCTTCAGCAAAATGTAGCTAATTCTTTTGGTACCCAAACTGCAGTTTCATTGAAAACTCTAACCATTTTTTAAATCAAAAGTTAATCTAAATCATCCTGGACTTGATTCTGATCATTTGGGTCAGGTCAGGGGTTGGATATACCATGCTCAGCTGGGACTGCAGTTCAATCTCGAGCCTCTGCAGGGTGGACTTCAGGTCTTTAATCTCTGTTTGTTGCGTCATCAGAGTGTCTGAGCTTTCTTTAACTTCCACCTCCACGACTGACATCTGAGCAGAAACACAACACACATGTTACCCCTCCGGTCGACTCTTCAAAAAATTTATTGTGACTTCACTTCTAACCTTATTCTGGTACCACAACTCCACGTCTTTGCGATTCTTGGCGGTCAGAGCCTCGTAGTGATCCCTGATCTCGCTCATGACCTGGTTCAGGTCTACAGAGGAACGAGCATCCACAGTCACATTCACCTGGCCACCGATCTGGTTCCTCAGCAGCCCCAGCTCCTGCAGATGATACGGGGAACATTTAAAAACTCAACAGGATCAATGAGGTTCTGGTGTACTGGATTACATGTGTGTTTCCATTCTTTAATCTGCGGGTTAAAGGCAAACAGAAACAATGAGCTAATGGAGGAAGAGAAGAATACATGGAAATGGGCAGAGAGAAGAGGGGCAGCACTTAAAGCGTCAGGCAGCAGAGATGTTTTTGAGAACAGTAACACAGTATTTCCTCTGGTTTATCAGGGGAAAACAGAGTTCATGCCTTGAGAAAGAAAAGACAAATTAAGCTGGTTTAATCTTACAGTAAACAGCTGCCACTGAAAAGATGAATGTCTCTGACCTCTGTTTAATCAATCACTTTCAGAGATTAAAATCAAAAAGAAAAAATAAGTGGGTCCTCTGGATGGGTTCTTCTTTAGTTCACTAAAGAAGAACCCATCCAGAGGACCGACTTAGTTTTTCTTTTTGATTCTTTTCTAYCTGGATTACTGAGATGCATCAGGACACTTTCAGAGATTGTATAAACAGACACATGGGCTTGGTTTTCTAAACCTTTAAGTTGTTGATATTGTTTCATCGCCATCATTCAAGCTGCCGTCTCACCTCCTCATGGTTCTTCTTCAGCATGATGAGCTCATCCTTCAGTGACTCGTACTGAAGCTCCAGGTCCATTCTGGCCATATTCATTTCATCCAGCACCCTCTTGAGTCCAGCGATGTCGCCCTCTACAGCCAGCCTCATGTTCAGCTCGGTCTCATACCTGAGAGGACAGAACCGGTCAGAGAGCAGCTCAGGGTTCACCTTGTTGGTGCGAATGTGAAACACTCACTTCATCTTGAAATCCTCAGCGGCCAGCTTGGCGTTGTCGATGTCCAGGATGGTCTTGGCGTTGAGCCTGGAGGCAGCATAGATCTGAGAAAAAGTTACAAATGTCAGCTCAGGTTTAGTTTTCACGGTTTGATAGAAGCTATAATAAACACACCCGCTCTTGTTTATCGTCTCTTACCTTGTCCTGCAGCTCTTTGATGGTGACAAAGTAGTTGCTGTAGTCATGGGTGGTCACAGTTTTGCTCTCGTACCATTCTCTGATCTGCTTTTCCAGTTGCAGGTTCTCCTTCTCCAACTTGTGCACCTTCTCCAGGTAGGAGGCCAGGCGGTCGTTCAGGTTCTGCAGGGTGGCCTTCTCGTTGGCGTCGACGTGCAGGTCGAGCCCCTCGGTGCTGCCCAGGCTGAGGAAAGGCCCGACGCTCATCCGGGATGAGGAGACACGGGTGCCACGCCCTCCTGCTCCACCGTAGACGCTCATGGTCTTGTGGCCGATGGACTGGCTGTAGGATCTGGTGCTGAAAGACATGCCGGAGAGTCTCGATCAGGACGAAGGACGTCAATAGGAGAACTGGAGTCTATCTGCAGTAGAAAGCATCACCTGGTCTCCTTGGTTTTATAGCTGCCACAGGAAAGTGGGAAGGGCTTGAAGTTTCAGCTGAATGGATGGAATGCAGATGAAAGATAACCCCACATTTTACTATGCAAAGTCTTCATCACCCCGGGTGTGGTTATCGATGGGTAGGGGGGTTGTTGTCTTACTTTCAAGTCAAACTCGAGATTCCACATTTTCTTGTTTCTGCCCCGACTGGCAGCGAMTTCATTATCCTTTCTTCAGTTGCTTAAAGCTGCTACGACCCAAGAAAATACCGAACATGGCATCTGCAGCATTTTTGAGCACGCCGGTGACAAAACTGACACATGCCAGCGACAATTTTAAGCTCCATGAAACCTAGGTCTGGGGAGGGAAAGGCAGCTGAAGGTAATTTTTGTCACGTAAGCTAGAAAACGTATGTTCAGGAGAGTGGTTTTTAAAGTTTAAACGATGCAAATCAGCTAATAAGATGATTTTTAGCATCCTAGCTCAGTAGCAGTAAAGGTGTTCCTGTCAGCCACAGCTGCTCAGTCCTGACAGCAGAAGCTACTGTAATGTTTAAACAACAGTTGTGAACAAAGAATAACTGTCAAACATTGATTTATTAGTGTTGGTGTTAAGCACTCGCCAATATTAGCATTTAGTTCAAATAAATGTGCACTTCACTGATAAAGCCAAAGCAAAAAACACCTCAATTTAATACTTTGAGGTTAAACCAATCTGTTCATAAAGGAATGAAGAAATTCTGATGTTTGGTGAAGGAAATGGTTTGAACGTTCAAGTGTTTTTCTCTGTAATTATTTTCTAACCTCTTCAGTCACAGTCACACTGATGAGCAGGGTGAGGCCAGACAAGGAGATGACTGACAGTTTAATTTGCACCTGCAGACTCCTGGTCAGCCTGATTCTTTCAGCATAAAGACAAATACCAAAGAAGCCACATAATGTGTTTATTTCAGTTAGCAAAATGCTTGATTGGTTATTATTCTCTTTGACTTCATTAAGCTGGTAAACAGTAACTAGTTTAAGTTAATTTCTGAAATGTTCTTGCAGACCAGAGGAGTTAGAGAGAGAAAAAAATGTTGGTGCTTCTGATGTAAGTTGACCCTCCAGTTTCTATCCAATTACATGTGGTTTTGACCACCACAAACTATTACGAGATCTTATGTTACTGCAAAAATACATGATCTGAGCTTCAGGTGTAAATTAAAAAAAACTTACATCAAACCATCAATCATCCCCTAAAATATCTTGCAGTTCATTTTCTCATTAAATCCTTGAACCACACAAAGATAAATGTGAATTTATTTAACATCTTGGAGCTGTAAACTAATACAAAAACTAGCAATAAAACATGTTCTTGAARCTGAAAGGAACTTTCAGCGTAAATCTCCATTTCTAAAGCCTCGCAGGTCCGTTTATCAGTAAAGTACCAGAGCAGCTCGATCAACCCAGCCAGCTCGTAACACAACTTTCTTTCTTTGTGCTTAATCCTTTCTAACAAGTTTTTAGGGTTTAAATGTTCTGCTTGAATCTTCCACTGTTAGGGTTAGTTAGTTTACTTACGGAGGTTTAGCACGTGTTGCTAACACACCTTTTTATAATTGTAGTTTATGTAACAATTAGGTTTTAAGTGGTGAGGATTAGTGATTTTATTTGTGATGTGAAACAGTGTGTAGCAGTGATCCCAGTCAGGGTCAGAAAAGTTTTGTTTTTATATTAAACATTTATGACATCATGGCTGACATCAGCTGGTATTTTCAACAATTTGGTCAAAAAACTTTAGCTTTAAGTGACCACCTGCAGCTGCAGCTTTGTTTCTGTTGCTGAGAATAAGTTAGGCCCTTAAATAAAGAAAAATAAAGTGAGACTGTAATGTTTAATTATCTTTTTATCAGCAAATTAAATCATAACCAGAAAAGTTTGCATTTTCTGCAAAAATACTGAGTGAAGGCTCAGAGCTGAATGCCTGCTGAAAATGTCTGAAGAAGCCAAAACTTCATTGTTAAAAAATAAAATAAGCAAAATGAAAGCTGAAACAATCAGAACACAAGCTGAATTAAATAAAACAGTGACTAAAAGTTAACATGATATACACGTGGTGTGTTTTCTTTTAATTATTGTATTTTTTAAATGAGTGAAAATTTTTTAATAAATAAAAAATAGATAGTTAAAACAGTAGCTAAAGGTTAARATCAGTCAAACTGCAACTAAAAGTTTAATAAAAAAAAGTAGCTAAAGACTAAAATTAGCAAATTTGGAGTTAAAGGCTGAAGTTGACAAAACTGTATCCAAAAGCCTGAATTTGCTAAATCATTGCCAAAAAAAATAATTTAATTAAAGCTGAAAGCTAAAATTAGCACAGCTGTGGCTAAATCTAAAATAAATCAGACCATATTTTAAAAACTGAAGTCAACAAAACAGTTTCTAAAAGGAAGATTAGAAGATAAAATAGTCAAAATATGATGAAGCAGTTATAAAATTTTTTTGAAGTAATAAGGAGATTTTACATGTTTATATCGTGAATTATGTTTTTCAGTGTTTAGTTCTTTATTTCAAGATGTTTATTTTTCTTTGTATTTGGTATGTTTTCTGTCAGTCCTCAGTACTTTTCCTCAGTCAACTTCTGCTCCTCAGTTCTGCCCCACCCACTTACACCTGTTCCCTGTTGTCATTACGCCACCTGTCTCAGTTCATAAGCCCCGCCTCTTTAATCAAACCTCTCATCTGCAGTCTGTCAGAATATTTTATACTCTGTCAGGTTCTCTTCTGAAGTTTTATGCTTTTTGTTTCTTGCTGCCACATCACACAAATTTTTTTTTTGAAAACTGTTATTATTAAATTATTTTTTATGAGTCCTTGTTAAAGTTTGTGTCTTTGGGTCGTCACCAGCAAACCCTGACAAATACGGGGGTTTTCATTCAAAAAGTAAAAATGTCCCAAACACTGAAAGTCATTGCACCATCTGAACTTTCTGATATAAAAATAGTTCAAATAACACAAAGCAGTGGAAGTTGTTCAACCGGATTGAAGAAACAAACATGAGAACAATAGTGTGCATGCTGAGTCATCATTTACACAACTATATTTATGATTAAATGTCAAAAATCATAACAATGCTGAATACTTTTAAAGCTGAATGTCCCAGTTGTCTTCATGGCACATTTATTGCCGACTTCATCTCGGGTGCCTTTTGGATTCTGGCGCTGTCAGCAGTAAAGAACTTCACACGCAGCTGCTACCACAAACTGAAAAAAAAGAATAATTTGACAGATTATAGTGACACAAAGAGATTATTGCGTCTGACAGACCTCCACATGCAAACACATCTCCTCTCAGATGTGRAGTCTGCCGTGTTTCTCTGAAGGTGAATTCAGGCGGAGCTGCATTTTTTCACTTTCTCAGCCTTTAAAAGATAAAGATCTGTTCAATTCACTGAGCACAGATGAGATTGTTTGAAAGGGAGGATGCAGTGCCGCGAGCCGATCATGTTTGAGCACTTGTGTGACTGACAGACCCACAGAGTTTCAGTGCTGGGGGGGTAAGGCTTCACAACTCAGAACAATGTTAGGCATCCCCCAATAAACAATTCTGAGAAATAATAGTTTAAAATCCTTACTCATCCTTGACTGGTATACATAAAAGAAGTAATCCATTCCAATCAAAACCGTTTACTTGAAACCTTTAAATTAAGGCCATTTTTATGTTGTAAACTTTATGAAACAAAGATGCAACCTTCTGCAAAAATGTGAGATAATGACAAAAGTGTTAGCGCTCAGGATGTGTTGTTAACGACTCTCAGCTACTAACACATCAAACTTTCACTCAGTTTCTGTAAATTTGACCAAATTACAGCCATTTCTGTAGRAAAACCAGTAATAATCCATTTATTTGGCAAAGAATGGATGCATCTAACTGTTTTCATGTTGCAGCAGAAAAAACTACAAATGAAACTTAAAACCTCAATTAGCTGCACTTAAACAAAAATAAAACCTTTGCTTTTGTAATCAATTATATCTGTGTTTTGTCACTGTGTTGTAGAAAATGGTAACTTGTTTCAAACCGTTAAGGTGTCAAATCTAAGCAGTCGTAATCATTTTCCTCATGGGATGCTGAGTGTTTCTTGCACCTTTTAAAACCATTTATCCTTTGACCAACCTTCTTCAGGTGCAGAACAAACCGTCAGTTGTTTCTGGCCTCAGCCGGATTCAGTCAGTTTGATGACAGAAGCTGCAGCCACCTTTCACCCCAAAGTTTGGGTCTAACTTCACTGACATGAGTCAGATCTAATATCAAAGATTTTTATTCAAGATTATGTGAATTTATCCATTGCTCATGCTTTTAAGTCTGGAGAAAATCAGCTAATAAACTGAAGCTTTCACCACAGAAACAAGAACATGTATCATAGCTAAAAACAAGTGACTGAATCCCAGCCCCACCACACCAGTGTTGATGGAGAGATCATGAGGTAGAGTTTGAGCCAATGTATCAACTGCATGCTGTCTTCTTCTCACTTTGCTGCATTTAGTAGGTAAAGAGACATAAAGACATGCTCCTAAAAGTTTTATTTGATCTGCCATTAATGAGCTGCTGAAACCTCTCTGACCTGTTCTGTCCTGTCAGGTAGCGGACTGAGCTGAACATGAGGCTGGCTGCAGAGGGCGACATTGCTGGAGGAACTGACTGGGGAAAGCTCAGAGCTGGAGGATCATTATGAGTCACAGAAGGATGATGTCATCATGCTGGAGAAAAACCACCAGGAGATAAGATAAGAAGCATAAAACAGTGCAACAATTTCAACCTCTTATCATTCTGTGGGCCGGCTCTGGTCAATTTGGCGCCCAAGGCAAGATTTCAGGTGTTGCCCCCTTGTGCAGTTTTCTGACTCTCACTACCAAATACTTTTGTTTTTAATATTATTTTTTGTTGTCCAGCAGAGATGGGGACTCGTGACTCGGACTTAGACTGAAGTCACACTTAAGTCCCTGCTGTTAGAGACTTGGACTTGGAGCCAAAACTTGAGACTTGACTTGGATTTGCAAAAAAAGACTTCCGCACATCTCTGTAGTCCAGTAAACAGTATAAATAATATGAAACAGAATACCAGACATTTTACCTCATACCTGCCGACATCTGCTGACATCATGAGGAACTCCTGTTCATGATAGCAAGCAGCTGTGGAGTGAAGCAGTTCTAGGGGCATCCAGGGGTTAAAGCTCTACTCAAAACTCTGCATTTTCCATTTGAAGTGCATTTTACTCAATTCTTTGGATTAATAAAACATAAAAACAGTATTTTATGAAGGTAAAACACTGAAAACCAGACGTTAACCTGTACTTTATAKTATCCTTGTTTTGTTTTATGACACACCGAGCACCAGTAGTTAGTCTTGACTGCATCATGTTTTATCATGAAACATCTGCATCATATAACCCAGCAGCTGTGAGAAACCCKCAGAACAAGTTACCTTCATAAATCTGAGGAACCAGTGATTATTCTACAGACTAAATCAACTATGCTTAAAAAAAGAGTTATCAAATATGATTTTTCATGTCCCATTTGTGTCGCCCCCTAGATGGACTGCACCCTTAGCATTTGYCTACACTGCCCACACCACGGGCCACTGCTGTTGTTACCAAATCTAATTAGATTTCCTGCATGAACTCTGCTTTCCCCTGATAAACCAGAGGAAATACTGTTACTGTTTTCAAAAACATCTCTGCTGCCTGACGCTTTACACGCTGCCCCTCTTCTCTCTGCCCATTTCCATGTWTTCTTCTCTTCCTCCATTAGCTCATTGTTTCTGTTTGCCCAACACCTTTAACCCACAGATTAAAGATTAAAACATGTWATCCAGCACACCAGCACCTCGTTGAATCGATGAGGCTCTGATCGCCAAGAATCACAGAGATGTGGAGCTGTGCTTCCAGAACAAGGTGAGAAGTGAAGTCGTAAATCATTTATAATGACTTTTAAAGAGTTTAAACAAGTAGTATTAATGTTTTTGATCATTTATTGCAAATTTCAGTCTTTTTTCTGGAATTGGAAGTTTTATTTTTCGTGCAGTCCAGCCATTRGTAAAATTCAATTGATCCTGGTTTTGTGTTTGTGTGATATATGATTAACATTAACAGAGAAAAATTAATTGTGTCCCTTTTTCATCATTAATTTGAGTCAGTTTTCAATTATTAGTGGTTTTTATTGGTGGGGATACTGGAGCAGGGAAAGATCTAACAAAAACATAATCTACAAAAACAAGTGAAGTTTTAATCAGTTTTATTTGCTCTGTGGTAAATTTATAGTATTAGTAATTGTTAGCTCTGTRGAGTCTTTTTAGTTGTAGTGTTATTTGGTGTTGTTATATTTATTCATTTTGGTTAAAAAAAGATATATTTAGTGTCAGTTGTTTAACTCAGAGCTCCCCCTGATGGTTTAAAAAGAACATTGTTATTTTAATGTATTTTGTGTCTCTATATATGAATATTTTAAGATGCACTTAAAAAAACAGAACAGTTAATGATTTGATTATATGATTTTGTCAGAAATAAGTCATTCTGTTAAAGACAATGCCACCTGTTCCTGACTGAAGAGACACTGAGACTCTAAGCTTTTTTTAAGTTCTAACACTGTTGTGGTTCTGTTTAGCCTCTCAGATTAAAAAGATGAGCTCATAAGTAACTCAGCCTCAGGTGGGAGAATTTAGGAGCCTCTTCTCTGATATTTGAGCTTCACAAGRAGCAGCTTCTTGTTCATCACTTTATGAGCTCCTCTAGGCTGTTTTTGTAAAATTTGGTGTAATTATCGCTGAGCAATGATTGAGCTCGACACGTTTGTTCACCTTTTGCTTAAAGCTTTAACTGGAGTCAGCCCTGTTTGTGTGTTAGCAAAATATCTTATTAATATTAACTCTCAGAAAGTAATCCCTATTTGCACTTATGGAATCAACCCAGTTTAAAATGGCTCCCAAAGTTAAACAACCATAGCTAACACTAAAATAGCTAATGAACTTTACGGATGAGCTAAAACTTAGTGTGGTAGTAGCTGAGAGTCATTCCCAGCACATATTTAAAGTTCTAACTAATCATGCAGAATACATAATGTTAAATAATGATGTGCACGGTGAGATCTGTCACTTCAAGTAATATTCTTTAGTGGTGTAACACATCATCTGACATTGTTTTAATCTCAGCCTGAAGCTGAAATGATGTCATTCAGAGTACAGTTTCAAATGGATTCATTCCAAAATATAAACTGTTACTAAAAAGAGCTTTCATCAGGCTGAACAGGTTTTGTTTTTGGCACTGTCGAAGGATTGTGTGAAAATCTGCACATACAAATGAGACAAAGACAGAGGTGGCAAACCGAGAGGGTTTTATTGCGTTACATCATTTTTGTTTTTAAATCGGCCTCCAGGTGCTGCCTCGTGGTTTCTGCACGATCCAGGTTTTCAGGTTCTGGAAGAGACTTTCTTGTCCTTCACCTCCTCGGTGTAGACGATGACCTTTTTCACGGTGCTGCTTCCTGAGCTGCTGGTGCTGTGGAGACACAGAGAAACACAGAGACTGAGCCGAAACCCTTCAGAGAATCAACTTCCCAGGACAAGGTGTGAAGTATTTGAAGCTTACCCGGCCTCTCCGTCCAGCAGCCTCCTGTATTCTGCGATCTCCATCTCCAGCCGTGTCTTGATGTCGAGCAGCATCTCGTAGTCCTGGTTCTGTCGTTTCATGTCGGCGCGCAGCTGGCTCAGCTGTGCCTCCAGACTCTCCACCTGCAGCTGGAAGCCGTTGAGCCTCTGAGCATATCGAGCCCTTATTTCAGCTAGATTCCCTTCTAGTGTTGATTTCTGAGGGGAGGCAAAGACAAGGAAAGACTTAAAGCATGTGCACGTGTTGAGGTCAGGAAAGTGACAGCTCAGGATCTTTTACCATGCTCAGCTGCGACTGCAGCTCAATCTCAAGGCTTTGCATTGTGCGGCGGAGATCGTTGATTTCTGTTTTGGACGTTTGCAGAGTCTCTGTGCTCACTGCCACCTCTTTGGTTAGTTCTGCTGACTGCAGGAGACGAGAAAAAACAGAGCAGTGAACCCGAGGAGCTTAAATCATCTAACTGGAACCGCCTCTGGTTTCTCACCTTTGTATCAAACCAGTTTTGAAGTTCTCTCTGGTTCTTTGCGGCCACGGCCTCATACTGCTCACGGATCTCAGCCATAACTTTGCTCAGGTCCTGCTGCGGCTTGGCGTCCACCTCCACGTTGATCTGCCCGCTCATTTGGGCCCTCATGGCCTCCATTTCCTGTTGGATCGACACGTTGGCTTCACAGAGATGTTTTTAACGGATCATTTTATTGAGCAGACGGACGTTTTGTCCCCTCACCTCCTGGTGGTTCTTCTTCAGGAACACCAGCTCCTCTCTGAGGCCTTCTATCTGCAGCTCCAGGTCGGACCGGGTCAACGTCAGCTGGTCTAGAACTCTCTTCAACTCTGCAACATCTGCTTCCACTGACTGACGCATGCTGAGCTCGTTCTCATACCTGCCAGGGAGAAAAAAAATGTTGCCATCTTCCGTTTAGTTTTTGAAGTTCCTAAATATCTGTTCTGATACTTACTTGGTCCTGAAGTCGTCTGCTGCCAGTTTTGCGTTCTCGTTGGCCAAAAGGACGCTTCCATTCTTCTTAACAGCATCCAGGATCTGTTTGATGAAGAAAAGTTTCTTTTAATTCGTCTGTATTTCAACATAATGTCTTAATTTTATGTTTTGGTGTTTTATTGAGAACTACAAAGTCGTGTACATCACCTTCTCCTGCAGGTCAGCTATGGTGGCCTCATAAGCTGAGTAGTCCCGAGACTTTGGGCCAGTTTTCTTCTCCAGATACTCTCGGATCTTCAGCTCCAGATCAGCGTTGGCCTTCTCGAGTTTGTGAACCTTCTCCAGGTAGGAGGCCAGGCGGTCGTTCAGGTTCTGCATGGTGGCCTTCTCGTTGGCCCCGACAWKGAGGTCCATGTCACCCCCTGCGCCAAAACCATAACTGCTCCCAGCACCGGCTCCAAAGCCACAAGAGGCAGAGGAGATTCTCAGTCCGCTCCCACCTGCACCGCCGTACACGCTGGAAGAGTACTGGGTCTTCACCCGGGATCCACCCAGGCCTCCCATGGAGCGCCCGGAGTACGAGCTGGACACGATGGATCTGCTCATGGTGGCTGAGACGTTCAGGAGGTGTGTCTGCCTCGAGGAGAAGGAGATGGCTGAGATGTGGGAGCTCTACCCCTGCCTCCTTTTTATCCCTGCTGTCTCCAGCCGCGGGTGGGGGTGGAGCTGGGCAAACACAATACCAACGCCGTGACCCGAAATGAGTGCAAAACCCCACCCATCTCACTCAGACAAAAAATGTTTTTCACACACCCATAAAAATAAGAAACTTATCCTTCTTTATCTTCTATAAATCAGTTCAAACTTAAACTCACTGAAAACTAAATTTTACATTCCTTCTGATGCATTTGGCTTATTTTAGGAACTTTTGACCTTTTTTATTTATTTTTTTATTAATTTTTTTTGTTTTAGTTTATTGGGTTTTTTTGCGAAAGCGAAATGTTTCGTAGATGATGACACAGCCACACCTGTTACTGTTTGTGGTTCACTCCACTGTGACAGGCTTTAAATCTTGTCATCGTCCTGACAGGACTTTGCCGATGTTGATTTTGTTCTCTCATCCACGGAGCCCAAAACTATGCAGCTCAACCAGAACCTGTTTCGCTACCAAGGCAATAATACAAACAGTGAAGTCAAACAAAATGTTACTTTCCATTAAAACAGAAAGACATTTGTTTTATTTCTAAATACAAAAGTACTGTAATTTTAAGTCGTTGTGTTGATCCATCTGCAGGATTTGTTTTAAATGAACATTTGTGAGCAGTTTTATGATGACCAGGCTCACCACAAATATAAGTACACTTTATTTTATTGGACATTTTCATTTCACTAAGAGGAGAACAAGCTCCTGCCTGTTTGCTTCTTTCCATCTCACATTTTCCCGTCTTTCTGCAGGATTTTCTTTAAATGTTTCACATAAACCCCTGCTGACAGGAAAGTTTAGTTAAAAAAACTTTCCCATTTAGTTATGAGTTCATTTAGTTAATAGGGTCGGTTATAGTAACAGTGCATGTTTTGTATTTTGTTTCTTGCATAAAAATAAAGTGTTTTTTTTTTTGTGCTGTTGCTGACTGAGCAAAAAATACAACTTAGAAAAACCAAAACCAGATGTTTCTTCAGATTTTTGCAGCTGCTTATCATTTTCAGGTCACAAAGTCAACTCTTCCATGTGCTGAATGACAACAGATCAGTTTGAAACCACTTTTATATCAAGAGAGAAATACCTGTTGTTATGAAGTACGGATCATGACGGAAAGTAAAACAAATACCAGCAACCTTAGAGATGAGTTGAGGAGTTATTATTTTAACATTTCTCCCAAATCTTGCATGTGATTGTCTCTAACTTTCCATTGCTAACCTGGAATCACGCACAACTTGATTTTTTACTATTGTTTTCTGTCGATATTAACTTACACAAGCAGACATCACATGAAACTCCACCTCTGTAAAAGTTAAAACGTAACGCTTTAAACATAACACTGCTTTTAAAAGACACTACATTTCCATAAGAAATTTAAATTTGATCACAAATATTCATCTCCAGCTTTCCCACAGTCGCAGTTAAATCAGACCCGGTCCTAACACTGACACCAGTTTCACACCTGTCGTGTTGTTCAAGTGGGAGTATTCAGGCATTCCAGCTGAAGTGCTACAGCTAGTCGCTGCTGCTGTTTCTGTTTTTAAAAATCCATATTTTTTGGTAAATAACCATGTAAGAGCACGGCTGAGATGAACTTTTTATAAAGTTGCATTCACATGAACTTGTCTGATGAAGCCCTTTTGGTCATTTTGACCCCAGGGCAGCAGGAGGGGGAAGACTGGAGTTCTTTTTAAACACCAATAATCCATCTTCATCTTGACCCACATCCGATTAGCTGTTAATTTGTTCATCCAGTCAAATTTTAACTTTATTTCACCAAATGGTGTCCATGCAAAAATCTATATACAACAGGTAAGATACTTATTGTACATGATCATGCCACAGAACCCCACTTTTGAGATATGAACTGTTTTAATATTTGATTTGTCCATAAAAATAAAGAAACCCATAATGTTTGTAAAAAGTAAGGAATTACAGTAGAAGTGTTTGTGGTTTGAAGCTTCCTGTTTCTTTCCTGCAGCTATTAGTACTGACAAACGGATGAGTCTAATTAAAATTAATTAACTCTGAGGTTTTAAGTCACCTGCTATTTGTTGCCTTTCTGTTTCACCTTGGCAGTGAAGTCACCGTTTGTTCTGTTATCAGAGTGATGAATAACAACAACATGTGTGCTTAAAGAACAAGGCRTGGCTGCGGTTTGTGTGTGAATGCGGGATACGTTGTTTAAATTCTGATGTTCTTTTGAACAAATGGAATAATTGGCATTTTATTAGCTGTACAATTAGATAATTCTCACCTCACCGTAGACAAACTTTGCATCAGAGCATGCTGCCTGATTGTGAATCTATTCTGTAACATTTGATAGGAGTATGGAGCCTAAACATAAACAAAACCTGTAAAAAAAATACAAATAAAATGTGAGGAGAAAGATAAAGGAGCCCAGTGGGATTTTTGGTGAAACATGAGAAAACCCAGGCTTTTTTGGAGCTCTGCAGCTCAGGCAAACTTCAAAATAAAAAAAACATTGTTCAAAGTTTAAGTTGGACTTTACATATCTGAACCAGTGCTTTTTGTTTATTTATCATAATTTGTCACAAACTCTGTTGGTTTATCTGCAGACAAGTTTAAATAGTGACACTTGCTGATTGTTACATTTTAATTTGTTGAAAGATGACAGACATTCAGAAGGTGTTTCTACCTGGGCGTGGATCTTTTAACGTGAGACAGTATCTTGTTTGGACCTGTTGTGTTGGGAGGAACTGGGGCAAAGATGACTCATTCCTTATTCAGGTGGTTTTTGGCTGTCCTCCTCAGTTTTTGTTCGTTCTTTGCATGCCTGAATTGTTTCAGATACTTGTTGTGAAGCCCTGCAGGGAGCAACCACACCTTTGTCACAACATTGTTAAAAGTTTGTGATGAAATGAGGGATCGGGAACGTTCAACCTAAGATCATCGAGAAGATCTGGGTGGAGATGGATTCACTTTTTCTGATAAAATGCAATGAAAAGCTGGTGAGCTCAGAGTTAAACTCCTTTTTCCACTTTGTGGTAAAAACAGATAACTGGAGTCAACTGAAGGAAAACCTTTGATTCTTTGTGGTTTTGTCTGCAAACATGAAATAAAACATTGTAATAACTATTAAAATGTGTGAACAACTGAAACACCTGCTGTAGAAGCTAGAGTAAAACCTAAAAGAACCAAAAACTAGCTGAAAGATAAAAGGAGGAAAAACACCAGCTAAAAAGTGCAAAACATTAGCTAATAGATAATGGGAGCAATGTAATTTCTATAAGTTAAAAGAAGAAAAACACTAGCTAAAAGGAGCCATTCATTAGCTAAAAGCTATTAGGAGCAACACACCAACTACAGTAAAACCTAAAAGGAGCAAAAAAAAGAAAGAAAGAAAAGATGAAAGAATGAGAAAGGCTAAATGCTGAAAGGAGAAAAACACTAGCTAACTGTTAAAAATAAAACAATAAAAGGAGGAGAATACTACCAAAAATTGCAAAAGACTGGCTAAAAAGATAAATATACTAACTAAAAGCTAAAAAGAGGAAAACATCAGCTAAAAAAATGCGAAACATTAGCTAAAAGCTAGTAGGTGCAATACACTTTCTAAAAGCTATAGAAAGAAAAACACTGGCTGAATCGCCATTCAGCTTAAAGCTATGGGAACAATAAAAGTTGAAAGAATGAGAAAGACTAAATACTCAAAGGAGAAAAACACTGGCTAACTGGTAACAGATAAAACACTGAAAGGAAAAGAAGAATAGCTAAAAGTAGAAAAAATGTTGCTAAAATCAGCACATGGTTAAAAGGTAAAAGTTATAAAATGCTAGGTAAAATGAGCATGTAAGGTAGAAGCAGCAACCTAAAAGCAACAAAAGGTCTAAAACAGGGGCGCCCAAACATTTTCCCCGAGGGGACCAAAAATTAAAATCTATCCATGGCTGCGGGCCAAATGCAGTTATATAATACATGAAATACAAATACGTTTTTAATTAAAGTCCTTTATTTTTAAAGATTAAGCTATGCAGTGGCCCTCTTTTGTTTGATTCTGTGCACTTGGAGAAAGTCTGCCATACGCTCAAGTAGCAAAGGCTCATGGGACATTTYATAAATTGATAAAATATTAGTTTTTGTGGCCTTATGAAGTGCGCAAATCTACATGTGGGGTTAAATCTGATCTAAATATTTCTTGTTGTCATTTCATGTTTCATGTTTAATCCTAATAAAACAGAGATAAAGTCAGCACCATGACTGAAAACTACCTTCACTACAGCCCTTTTATATAGTCATTTGACCAATGGAAATACTGTGTTTCTATAGGATAACAAGTTACAACCTTGTAACTTTGGCAACTGTTGGTGGGCCAAATCAAATGGCTTGGCGGGCCAAATTTGGCCCACGGGCCCCACTTTGGGCTCCTCTGGTCTAAAAGCTAAATATATCTCAAGGTGAGCTAAAGGCTACAATTAGCAGCAAAATGTTTTCGAAAACCCAAAAGTATCAAAAAACAGAATAAAGTATGGAACCAGATTTAAAAGAGAAAATTATTTTTTTAAATATTTGAAGAGTTCTCAGTGTTTTTCTGTAAAAAAAAAAAGTGTTTGTAAAGTTAAGTCAAAAGTCCTAGCACCAATCTCTTAAATGAGCCAAACTTTTTTGATAGACGAAAAGCTCAAATAACAGAGAATGCAAAAGAAAGTAGTGCAAAATGCCTAGTGCACGCAAAAACAAATAAAAAACAGCAAAACCATTTCATTGCTGAAACACTATTTAAACATGTTTAAAATTTATTTTGTGACTTTCTGCAGGTAAGTTGGATTTCTGTGCTGACATGCARAATAAAATAAATGATTGGGTGTTGATGGCGAATCACTGCCAGAACAAAGCAGGTAGCCTGGAAGCTTTTCTCGGATTACTTTTAACAGCACCAGAGAGCACAAAAACACTGAAAGGAAAGGAGTCCTAAACTCTGAGTCACTTTAACTCAGCTCCACCCAAACAAAAAAGCTTTTCGTTTCTCAAAATGAAATCACATTTAGAGCGTTTTAAAGGACAATGAAACTCTTATGGAGACTTGAGTTATTTGGCAAAACTTTTCTTTCCATGTTTCTGTGTCCATCCAAACCAGACCTGCCTCTTTTTCCCACTGCACTTTTTAAAACGTGCCTGAATTTTATGCTGCTACCACATAATTAACTCACTCTCAGTAAATCAAATAATCACACTTATAAATGTCTCCTGAGCAGCAGAAAAAATAAACCTGCTTCCAATTAGGGAAAAATTTGTTTATGCAATTTGAAGTTGGGATTCTCGAAGTGAGGATTTTGAAAAGGACTAAAGAGACACCTGGTGGTTAAAAGTGAAATTACAYATAGGAATTAAATATTTCCACATAAGGTGCCTTTTTGTTTGTTTGTAACCAAAATAACAAACACTGGGAGTCAAGATGGCCGCTACGTCAACATAAACCAACACAAAAATGGCTAAAACTCAGTAAGTTTTACATAAATTTAGGTAAAATTTTAGATGGTAGTAGCTGAGAGTCACCTACAACATATTGTCTCTTGACAACACATGAAAATGTGTGTAAGGTTATTTTCAAGGTTTGAAATCAGCTACAGCTCTGTCATTTCCCCATCATATGATGCTTTTATTTTGAAACCTCTGAAAAGTGGCTGATGATATGCATTGCTTAAATGAATGAAAGGCTTTCAGTAGTTGTAATTTTCACCACGTGATGATCACTGTAGACATGAATAAGAGCACATTTATGCATAAAAATTCAGCTTTTTATTACTTTTAGTTGTTTTATTCACCTTTTCCAAAAGCACGAAGGGCAACTTTTTGCTACATTTTTCTGGCCAAAAGAAAAATAAGATGAAAGAAGAATATAAACAGTTTGCAGACAACTTAAAATTATACATTAATCACTCTAAATAAACAGCTTTTGATTAATCTGTGTGTATAAATGTAAAAAAAAATATGTTTAGTGGGAGCAGTGTTACTGAATGGTTTGCACTTTGGTGTCCTCGGTGCTGGAAACCACTTTACCATCGATGATCTGCTCCACGATGGTCTTCACTCGCTTCTCGATGTGGGGTTTTTGCTCTGCAGAGGACAGATAGAAACAATCAGAGGTTATGAGTTTCATCAGGTTATATTTTCAAATTGAAGGGATAATGATTGAGATTCTTACCTTCAACTTCCTCTGTGGTTTCTTTGATGATCACAGCCCTGTAAAAGAAGAAAATGTCATAAATATTTCTTATTGTCAGTGTTTAAATGAAATAAAATAGACATCTCTCACCTCCTCTGTTCAAGTTCGTCTCCTCCCAGCAGCCTCCTGTATTCCTCGATTTCCCTCTCCAGCCTGGGTTTGAGCTCCAGCAGCAGTGTGTATTTGATCTGCAGCTGCTCCAGGGACATCTTCATCTCCTGCAGCTCAGCCTCCAGGCTGCTGATGGTGGCCTGGTGCTGGCTGAGGAGAGCGGCGTACCGAGCGTTCACCTCCATCTCATTCTGCTGCAGACACTTAACCTGCAGGAGAGACAGGAMGGTTTCATGTGGTCCTCTGTTTCAAAGGCTGCAGCTGTATCACAAGTAGACCCTTTCACAATAAAAGCAGGACAGATAAAGAGAGAGGCTCAAACCCTCGGACCGAAACTTTAAAACTTTTGCACAGAAAAATGATTTAATCTTTAAACTTTGTTTTAAAGACAGGCATTTACATGATCACCACTGATAATAACTGGATAAAATTAAATGTTGATGCTGTTTTCATCTGCCTGTTTATTGTTTTTATTATTAATGTTTGTGTTTTTTTAAAGCAGATCCAGCGGCGCTGCGGATCCAGACTCACCTCGTTGTACAGAGCCTGACGACTTATTTCCAGAACCTGGTAGGTTCTCTTCAGCTCAGAGATTTCTGTGTGATACGTCTTCACTTCTGTTGTGCAGGAGATGATTTGGCTCTGAAGGATTTCCATCTTTTCACAGAAACACAGGAAACACAAAGATTAACATTTTAACTTTTTCTGATTTTCTTCAACAGTTTCTGAAAACCACATCTACCTGTTTTTTAAACCACATATATATATTTTTAAAATGTTCTGCTCATTTAGATGGGTGATATGATGATGATGGTGATGATGATGAGGATGATGATGAGGATGAGGATGATGATGTGTAAACTCATGGTCCACAATACATCAGACAATAAAAGAAATGTTTGGTTTTCCAAACTTTTATGGTTCAAAATATTCACATATTTTTCCCAATAAAAAACATGAAAATCTYACTTCCTTCAAAAGCATTTTTTATTTCGTGACTCTCTTTCTGTCTTTATGCTGCTTTGGGCTACCTAGCATTTTGCAACTTTTTGTGTTTTTTTCCTCATTTTGCTTTTGTCTAGTGTTCTTATTCGTTGTCAATTTACTGATTTTAGCTCATTTGTTGCTATTTTTGGTTATCATTTTGCTACTTTTAGCTATTTATAGTGGGGTTTTATCAGCTACCCTTTTGATACTTTTAGATTTTAGCTTCTATTCTGCTACTTTAACATTTGTGTAGCATTTTGATATTTCAGCTTTTTATCCATCTTGCTTCCTTTAGCTTTTAGCTAATTTTATGCTTCTTTTAGCTTTTTTCTAATATTCTACTTCTTTTAGCTTTTAGCTAAWATTCTGCTTATTTTAGYTAATGTTCCACTTCCYATAGCGTTTAGCTGATATTTAGCTTCTTTTAGCTCAGGGGTGCCCAAACATTTTCACTGAGAGGACCAAAATTAAAATCAATCTGAGGGCCGCGGGCCAAGTGCAATAATATAATACATGAAATGCAAATATTTCTTATGTAAAGTGTTTTATTTTTTATGATTAAGCTAGTAGCCAGTGCGGTGGCCCACATTGTTTGTTTGTTTGTTGTTGTTTTTCAGTCCATGGAAATGGACAAAATTCAACTTATGCTCAAGCAGCAAAGCCTCRTGGGATTTTTCACAATTTAAAATTTGAGTATATGGGGTCTTATCGGGTGTGCAAATCTAGATATGGGCTTAAATCTAATCTCAGTGTCTCTTGTAGTTACTTGTATTTTATATTTAATCTTAATGTAATTCAAATATAAATTGAGTACTATGAATTAAGACTGTCTGCACTACAGCTCCTTGTACGTATAGTTGGACCAACGGTTGGAAAGACTATGTGGAAATATAGYGTTTATGCATAGGACAGGAGATTACAATCTAGTAACTAGGGCAATTGCTGGTGGGCCAAATCAAATGGCTTGGCAGGCCAATTTTGGCCCGTGGGCCCCACTTTGGGCACCTCTATTTTAGCTGATGTTCTGCTTCCTTTAGATTTTATCTAATGTTCTTCTTTTAGCTTTTACCTTGTATTTTTTTTACTTTTATTGTATATAAAAAAAATTATGAAATGAAAAAAGTTAAACAATAAACAATTTTACCTAATGTTCTGCTTTCTTTAGCTTTCAGCTCATATTCTGCTTATTTTAGCTAATGTTCCACTTCCAATAGCATTTAGCTAATATTTTGCTTCTTTTAGCTGATGTTCTGCTTCTTTTAGCTGATGTTCTGATTCCTTTAGATTTTATCTAATGTTCTTTTAGCTTTTACCTAATGTTCTGCTTCCTTAAGCTTTCAGCTTATATTCTGCTTCTTTAGCTTTTAGCTAATATTTGCTTCTTTTAACTAATGTTCCACTTCCTTTAGATTTTAGCTAATATTCCACTTCCTTTAGCTTTCAGCTGGTGTTCAGCCTGATTTAACTTATTTCAGTTTCAGCTGGTGTGGCTAATTTCAGCCATCCTCAGGACTCAGGAAGAAGTTCTCCTGTTTACCTTTGATTTGAACCATTTCTCCAGCTCCAGCTTGTTGTTCTTCATCAGAGTTTCGTACTGCTGCCTCACTTCCTCCAGGACCTTCGTCAGGTCAGCGGACTCTGCGCTGTCCACCTCCACCTTCACAGAACCGGTGCCCTGGACTCGCAGCTCCTCCAGCTCCTGCAGCCAAACAAAAGTAGCCGAAGTGAACATTTTAGACCCAGATGTCAGTGTTTTGGACTCAGCAGAGGTTCTGAACTCAGAGGTTCTCACGTTCTTGTGGGTGTTGGCCAGAGACACCAGCTCCTCCTTCAGATTCTCCACATTCGTCTCCAGGCTGCAGAGGGTGAGGGTCAGGTTGTCCCGGATCCCTCGGAGACGAATCACGTCAGCCTCCACCGTGTTCCTCATGCTGAGCTCSAGCTCATACCTGCACGTCACACTCATCAGCATGAACTCAGAAATGTCACAATCTAAAGCTGATCCTTTAGCTCTTCTAGAACCAGAGTTTTTACCCACGTCTGGATGTCTGTTAGCAAAATAACCACTGGATGGATTTTGACAGAAATGACAATAATTCAGTCGATTCCATAAAACAGACCTAAAATTTGGTGAGGTGGTAGCTGAGACTGATCGTGAAAACATATTCTGATGTGAATCTAAAAGATAAAGAGCATCAGCTTACTTCATTTGAAAGTCATCGGCTGCCAGTTTGGCGTTGTCGGTCTGCAGCAGGATACTTTGATTGCCTGAGCAGATTTTTATGATCTAAAACAAACAGAAAACTGATCAGATGATTGTTGTCCCTGCAGTGAAAAAAGGAGTGACGCTATTCATGTTCAGAACATGTGAAAAGGCAACAGATTGAATCATTTTAGATTTTTTTGGTCAAAGGAAAGGTTTATTAGAGTTGTGAGAGCAGCTGTAGTTTGGTTTGGAGGCAGAGCAGAAAGTGTCAGAGCTGAAGGTGTTGGGCTTCTCCTGACGAGGGTTAGGAACGAGATGATCAGAGCTACAGCACAGGGAGGACTGGGAGATAAATACAGAGACCTGAGATGGTTTGGACACATCTAGAGGAAGGACAGAGAAGGATGTTAAAGATACAGCTGTTAGGAAAAAGACAAAGAGGACATATATGGACTCAGAGGACAGAGTGAGATGAAGGAAGATGAAATATTTACCTCTGCTTGCAGGTCGGCGATGGTGGAAAGGTAGGCGCTGTGATCTTTGGTAACAAATGTGGTTTTACTGCAAAACTCCCTGATGTTCAGCTCCAGTTCTTTGTTTTTGACCTCCAGTGAGTGCACCTGCACACACAAGTTTGCACAGCTATTCGTTTGGGGACATTCCATTGACTTCCATTACATTTCTACAGCCTAACCCTGACCACAAACCCTAAGGCTAACCTCACAGGTACCTACCTGACCCTAAAACGAACCTAAACTCAATTCACACCTTGGTCCTAAACCCAACCCCCAACCCACCAATGGCATTTAAACCAAACGGGGACTCAACTTTTGTCCCCAAAGGTAGGCATTTAGTCTTAAAATTGCCCCCAAATGTCACCAAAGCTGACTCCCCACCCACACACACACACACGCACAAACACACACACACACACACACACACACACACAC